TTCATCACACGGCAACACGCCTGATTCTTTTCCGGTTGCGGCGTATGAATATTTTTTGTTCGAGTTTTTTTTTTTTTTTAGTGTAAATGGCCACTTATTATAAACAAGTTAACAGCATCGACTAATTTTTTAAAAAAAACTTTTTGGTGCAAAATGAAACTAACGTATCCGGAGCAATGACCTTGGACTTCGCCAGGACACTCCTCGTGCCCATAGCCACAGCATCCAGGATCAAATCCACCAGGCTCTGCCACCGGAGGAAACCGGGCAACATCATCAGAGATTTGCTCACGAGCTCTAAACAGGACACGAGCCACTTGGAGCTCGCCGTCAACCACTACAGCATGAACGCCAACGCGGTGTATGACAGCGCCTCCACCACGACCGACAGCGACACGACGCGAACGGGTTACGATGAGGATGACTCTGTCCGCACCACGCAGTCCACCACGCTGTCCACCGCACAGTCCACCACGCAGTCCACCACGCAGTTCACCGCTCAGCCGTGCATACACCTGTCTGCATCGCTGGCGAGCTCCACGAAATTCTCCAAAGGTATCAGGCGGCCGGGGTATAAAATGGTGGCCAGGACGGGCATCCCCAAACTGGCCACCACCTGCAAGCTGCGCCACACGAAAATCGCGCGCACCAGACCTGTTCTGGCGGCAGCCCCGGCGCCGCACTCCACCTCAAGGGCGATTAGAGCGAAATGCGCAAAACAGACCGGTTCCGGTGTGGAGAAAACCACCGGGAAACATCAGCGGACGGCGCGGGAAACCACTAGCGTGGTATCGGGCAACAAGACACAAGCAACCAAGAAGTCCGCCCTGAAGACGAACTCGCGCAGCAGCTGCACCGCTCTCGCGCGGAAGTATGGCGGTAAACTCGAGTCTACGGGCCTGTTTAAGCGATCTTTGAAGCCCGCTCGCAGCGTCAACACTAAAGTCTCCCAGGCCAAGGTTCTCGGGCCCGCATCGGAGCCCTTTCTCGTTCAAGGGGAGAAAATTCTGGCGGAGAATAACTCAACAAACGCTTCGGAGACGAAGGGATATTTCTTGGAGGTTAAAATGCGGGATGGGGCAGAAAAAGGAGACGACTCGGAAGTAATCGGCACATTTCTCACTCGAGAGTCAAGACTGCAATTCTGTGATGCGTCCCCTGAGTCCATACCAGCATTAGAACACTCGCTGATACCGAGTGGACAGCCAGAGACGCCTGTTGAAAAACAGACGACCCCGGATCCGCCACAGACAACCCCAGGTCAGCCACAGGTTCAGGTAGAGCAACCACAGGGCCAGACCAAACAACCACAGACAACACCAGGCCATTCACAGGTTCAGGTGGAACAACCGCAGGGCCAGACCAAACAACCACAGACAACACCAGATCAGACACAGGTTCAAGTGGAACAACCGCAGGGCCAGACCAGACAACCGCGGGCGTCCGCAGAAGACCCGCGGGGTTTTAAAAAAACACCAAGCCCAAGCGGGGTCAATCTGCGGTCAGCGTCGATGTCGTCCTCGAGGGCAAAGACTTCATTGACCAGAACAGCTCCGGTGATCGTGAGCTTCCCACCAGTCAATGCCATAGCAGACAAAGAGTCGAGTCAAGCCGAGGTCAAAGCTGCCCAACCCGCAGCGCCCAGAACCCTCGTTAAGCCGCTGACGCTACACGATGACGCTGTCAAACACAGCAACATAAAGAGGAGGCCCAGCATGGTGTCAGCTACTCCCAAAGCAGGCTTGAGGAAAGCTGCCTCGGGCAATAAAATCGTCGCGGAGAAAACAGTTCTCCAGAAACCGCGCCAAAGTCCAGCAGGAGGCCCTGTACAAAAAACAGCTCTCACCGAAACCACTGGAATGGCATCTTCGGCCAAAACATCTTCGGATGCGAACTGCCACCGCCCCAAGAGCTGCGTTCGCAAACCGCCCCTGGAAACGATGGCGGTGAGGAGGGGCGCCTCCCTGGCCAGAGAAACGGCGGCGGCGGCGACGCGGTTGCTGAAACGTGAACCGGAAGTTAAAAACGTAAAGAGTGGTTCCAGCAAGCCGAAGCCTGGACCAGTGAGGGACAGAAACGCCAATGCAGGGCATGACGTCATCAATGGAAACGCCAATACTGGGCATGACGTCATCAATGGAAACGCCAATGCATGGCATGACGTCATCAATACAAACGCCAATGCAGGGCATGACCTCATCAATACAAACGCCAATGCAGGGCATGACGTAATCAATGGAAACGCCAATGCATGGCATGACGTCATCAATACAAACGCCAATGCAGGGCATGACGTCATCAATGGAAACGCCAATGCATGGCATGACGTCATCAATACAAACGCCAATGCAGGGCATGACGTCATCAATGGAAACGCCAGCGCTGGCGGGGGCGGCTCTGCCAGATACCGCAGAGACGTTTTTGTCAGTGATGGCGAGAATGTCAATTTGAACGCAGACGACATCGAAGCGGGCGCCACTCAATCCAGCCAGAAGCTGTCCAAAAAAAGCAGCCGAGGGAACGACATCCTCAACTTGGAATCGCACAAACCCCGTCGCGAGTCGAAAGACGTGGAGGGGGAAAGCGAAGCCCTGGTGCCGGCGGATGAACCGGAGACCGCCGAAAGGGAAGACATCGAGGGAGAGCCGGGGGCCGTGGAGAAGGTGGGGTCGATGCAGGCGGCCTCGAAAGGGGTGGTCGGCTCCCTCAGCAGCCAGTCGAAGCACGTCAACATCCAGGAGGTGACCAGGGCGTCCCCGAGGGTGGTCAGGAAGAAGAAGAAGAAGAGGAGGGTCAAGAAGACCCGTACCGAGGAAGTCAAGGAGGTGGAGCCGGTGCGGTGCCCGTTGTTCCAAGGCTGGGACTACGGGACGACCTTGGAGAAGCACACGATGGACCACGTGCCCATGGACAGTGACATCACACAACTGTTGTTAACGGTGAGTGGGCGCATCGTGTAGCAGGGGAGCAGATGGAGAATGCAAGTAGGGGGTGTGGGGGGTACCCGGGAGGAATTTTAAAAGTGTTTACCGCATTAGCTGCAGCTGTAAAGAGAGAAGAGTAGCCATATATTGGTCTGACCAAGTTAAATTTGATTCTAAGTAATGTGTAGCCATATATTGGTCTGACCAAGTTAAATTTGATTCTAAGTAATGTGTAGCCATATATTGGTCTGACCAAGTTAAATTTTATTCTAAGTAATGTGTAGCCATATATTGGTCTGACCAAGTTAAATTTTATTCTAAGTAATGTGTAGCCATATTTTGGTCTGACCAAGTTAAATTTGATCCTAATTGATGTGTAGCCATATATTGGTCTGACCAAGTTAAATTTGATCCTAATTGATGTGTAGCCATATGTTGGTCTGACCAAGTTAAATTTGATTCTAAGTGATTTGTGCACCGCTTTGTCCAAATATGCCAGCCTGCACCACTGTATTAAATGATGTGGTCTCACATGTGGTCTCACATGTGGTCTCACACGTGGTCTCATGTGTGGTCTCATGTGGTCTTATGTGTTCTCATATGCGGTATCATATGTGTTCTCATATGTGGACTCACATGTGGTCTCATATGTGGTCTCATGTATGGTCTTACGTATGGACGCACGTGTGGTCTCATATGTGGTCTCATGAGTCGTCCCAGCGTGCACCAAGTTGACGGGTGCTAACATGATCAAATTTTTTGACATAAATTATAACTGATCATTAATGGGATGTACATTCCTCTTTTAAAAAATGGTAGGACAAACTATCCAACTGCTATTAATGTGACTATAAAATGAATGAACTACACACAGGCCAAAAAGGGCAACTATCATTAGCATTGAAATACGTGTGAACTTATTTTGTTTACCCGTAGCGGACGACCAAAATGTTGTGGCTGAAGGCGGGCAGTAGCTTCAAAAGGGATTTGCTGGTACCGCTGCAGTATCCCTCCGCCATCCACGCGGAGAAAACTGACGTCAAGGCGTACCTGGCCCAACACGGTATTAGGGAGCACTTTCAGGTCAATATGTGTTCCGTCCATTCGATTGGGTTAGACTGCAGACTTCCGTTAGTCTGTGTTGTGTTGTAACCGTCAGTTAGTCCATGTTCTATTGTGACCGTCCGTTGGTCCATATTCTATTGTAACCGTCCGTTAGTCCATGTTCTATTGTAACCGTCCGTTTGTCCACGTTCTATTGTGAACGTCCGTTGGTCCATGTTCTGTTGAAACCGTCCGTTAGTCCATGTTCTATTGTAACCGTCAGTTAGTCCATGTTGTATTGAAACCGTCAGTTAGTCCATGTTCTACTGTAACCGTCAGTTAGTCCGTGTTCTATTGTAACCGTCAGTTAGTCCATGTTCTACTGTAACCGTCAGTTAGTCCGTGTTCTATTGTAACCGTCAGTTAGTTCATGTTCTATTGTAACCGTCAGTTAGTCCGTGTTCTATTGTAACCGTCCGTTAGTCCATGTTCTATTGTAACCGTCCGTTAGTCCGTGTTCTATTGTAACCGTCAGTTAGTCCGTGTTCTATTGTAACCGTCAGTTAGTCCATGTTCTATTGTAACCGTCAGTTAGTCCATGTTCTATTGTAACCGTCTGTTAGTCCATGTTCTATTGTAACCGTCCGTTAGTCTGTGTTATGTTGTAGCCGTTCGTTGTCTGTGTTCTATTGTAGAGCCCCCATAGTTTTATTGTAATCACTCCAATATTTGATTGTAACTATCCCTAAATTTTGTTTGAAAATATTTGTTGTTTTCATTCGCCGTCTTTTCCCCGTTTTTTAAATCCATTTATGAAATGTAGACTTGACAAAATTTAACCAGGTTACCTGATGCTAGAAGATGCGTCAAATTGGCAACATAAGAACCTTTGAGATCAGTCTGGAGAAATCGACATCCAGGCCATAATCTCTTTTGTAAGAGCAAGCTCATTGTCTCAACGGGCGTTCAGTAGCAGCACCATGCCTTCTCGCGCAGTGCCGCACGGTGGTGCTTCCATATTGTGTCTAATTATGTGTAAGTTGTGTCTCGGTGAATTCGCGACGGAACACAAACAACACGCGCCGTCTCATTTAACCTTTTCGCATCCCAGATACTTTCCCCATGACCCAAAATGCGTTTCTCCCACCCTGCACAATTTCAGCAACACATCTATTAAAAAAAACAATTTTAAACATTCTTTATAGTTACCGACATCTCACCACTTACGATACACAACATGTCTACAATAAGGATGTTCTCGACCTCTTTCCATTCACCCACAGCGTATCACGAACTCAGTGCTGGAAGACCCCAAAAGCGAGGACCCGTTACAAATGATGATAAACCAAGGGAACGTACTCTCGCGCCAAGCCGTTTACCAGAGAGAGGCTGAAAGCCTTCTCGACAAGATGATGAACAAACAATACGCTAACCCCATCTCCTTCCCGTCTTTCCTCAAAACGGAAGCTCTGCGCCAGGCGGAAGTAGCCGAAAGCGCGCCGACGGTCGAGGAATCGGTTGACGAAGAAACCGAAGAGCAAAGCGACGAGCAGGCAACCAGCACCATGGACGAGTCTGCCACGCTTACGGGGAAGACCAGTGGTTCGACCAACGCAACGAACGAAACGGGAGGAAAATGAAAAAGCTCAATCTTAGTTGTTTTTTTTATACACACGTTATTGGTTCGGGTAAAGGTCGTGGTCGAATTTGCTCAACCCTTTCAAAGATTTCATAAAATAAAGTTGTTGTTGTTTTTAAGTGGAAAAAAAGGGGGGGGGGGGGGCCTGCGATTTGTTGAGACATAATTTACTGTGGTCAATTCAATCAGATTAGGAGAACAAAATATTTCGATCCATTTATTTCGTAAGCGGATTCAGTCGGGGGAATCGTGATGTCGGATAACTACGGATGATCGACAAAAGCCATCTGCCCCTGTGGTAATCCCTGTCGTAATTTGACAATATAATCATCAAATTGAAAAGGAAAAAAAACACAAAAAAACTCTGTTTATCAAAGCATCCTAATACCTTAATGATAATTCAAATGTCGAACAACCCCCATCACTTGGGTATCTGTGGGGGAACGGCAAGCAGTGGCTAAAACGTTATCGAGTACAGAGTGCAACAACAAAAATATAATCTGCTCGCTTTAAGCCCATTTAGACGTCTAGGGAACCTGCCCCATCTTGCCACGGCCTGGATACACCACTGAAGAAGAATTTTCGTCTGAGTTTTTCTCTTGAATTTTATTTTTTCTTTGTGATATTGTGACCAAAAAAAAAAAGAAAGAAAAGATTTTTAAAAATGAAATGATAATTCCACCGAAGATATTCTTGATTAATCCTTTAAAAAAAAAAAAGATCATCTATTAACACAAAAAAAAAAAAAAATCACTTTTTACACCCCCCCCCCCCCCCACGACTGATTTTTTTTTTTCGAAACCACCTATGATTGTCATAAACTGCATGATTATTCCCCTGTATTTCTGTAAGTTTGCCTTTGAGTAAACCTTTAATCCAACCATAATCATTCATACCCCACCCCCTCATCTGATTATCCCTCACCCCTCACCTGATTCAGTCCCTAACCAATAACCAATTGGCTGATTATTCATTGTCCTCACATTACATCACAAGAGATTATTCTGAACCCAACCCAAGGCAGCAGCATCTATAAAAAATTAAAATAATGCTAGTGAACAATGTACTTAGGGCCAATGACCAGGCCTATAATATGAACCGCCAATGACGATGGGGGAAAAAAAGGCATAAGGCATCTATGGGCCCCTAGTGGTGGCTGTGTCCTGGGCCCCTTAAATTCCATCAACTGATTCAGCCATCCTCAGTCGACCCAATGTTTAAATCTTTAACCGCATATTTCACGCTAACACCCCAATGGAACGGTAGAAAAGAAATGATCCGCCAACGGTTCCAAAAAACCAGTCTGACCGCAAGTAACCGTAAGTGACCCTAACATGCTAGCCGAAGTTGGCACATCAATCGTGTCATTCGTGTACCCGGTCTAACTATAACGTTATCAATTGAATTGGGGTTGCCTTTTTTTTTTTTTTTTTTCAGGTTTTTTTTTTTATACTCTCTTAAATATTTTTTTTTTTTTTTTTTTTTTTTATTTTGGTGTTTTTTGTTTCTTTTTTTTTTTAATCAAGGTTTTCATTGTAAATCCACTGAAAAATGTTTCTTTCTTTTTTTTTTTTTCAAAGTAGGTCTACTTGCGTCACTTTATATTTTTAACCAATCACCACCTTCTCAATTTTTGAATGATATAATTATAATTACAGTTAAAGAAACGAGCATAAAGTCACCAGTGCTTTTTTTTGTTTCCTTATTTACCAAGTGACGTCACATCATTTATATAAATTTAAAGAAAACAACATATTTTTAAAAGCAAAATTTGAAAAATACATCATGGGAAAAATAATTATAATGGAAATGTTCCAATAAATGAATTAAATTTTGTTTTACAATAATAATTACTTACTGCATTTTTTTTTTCATAAAAAAAAAGTAAAAATTTTGTTAGAACTGGAGCAACAACTGAGAAATAATTGGCAGCCATATCCATATATTCCAAATGGTTTGCCACGGTGTTGAGTTAGCTTTCTTGTTAATTTGTGCAGTTTGTGGTAATGGAACATTGCCTAACAGGGCGCAGCGTAGCGTTGTCTGGTCACATTTTTTGGTTCTTTTTGATGATATTAATTACCTTCAAAGGTTTCATTTTTTTAATTTTTTATTTATTTATAGTTATTAATACTGGAATGCATGCAGGAATTCTCATATCGTGTGGTGTGGGGGGCAAGAAATTACGCATGATTTTATTTAATTACTTTGGTCAAGGCCTAAAAACCCCATATCCCTAGATGGGTAACAGAACCTACTCCTCCGTAGCTCAAGTGACCCTGTAACGGTTTCACGGGGCACCCGAACATCGAGTGTCTGCTTTTAACAGTGACAGTGTAGTTATGCATAACTGTGGTTTGCGCGCAGCAGGGGCGTCTATCCCTATCTGAGTATCGGAAACCAACTCCCCCCCCCCCTCCCCCCCCCCAGGTTTCCCGGGGCACCCGAACATCGAGTGTCTGCTTTTAACAGTGACAGTGTAGTTATGCATAACTGTGGTTTGCGCGCAGCAGGGGCGTCTATCCCTATCTGAGTATCGGAAACCAACTCCCCCCCCCCTTCCCTCCCCCCAACTTTGACCTTGGATTTGGTGAATTTTGTGTGTGTGATGTGGGCAGTGCCAGACTGCCAGTCATATTGGTATGGGCCACTTTCAATTCAGAAGTTCACAGGACTATTCAATAATTATATTTGTATTGAATAGCTAACGATAAAAAATTCGCTAACAGCTCAATAATTATTCAATTTTTTCAGCAAATCAAATCCAGTTTTTTTTAATTTTTTTTTTTAAATGAATTTTAATAATATTTCCATTTCAGTTTGAACTCTTAAAATGCGACCATTGATTGGACTGTAGGGTTAAGACCACGTCGTGTCAGGCTATGTTAGAGGATTTGTGCTCAAATCCCAGCCTAAGACGGGCAAAATTTTCTTTTTTTTTTTGGAACAAAAATCCCTCACTTCCTTTTTCCAAACCCCGAAAATAATAAATAATATTGATTATTTTAATTGTATTTTTCATTTTCCCTATCAATTTTCTAAACCTGCAGCGATTCAAAAGCAGGGGAAAAAAAAGTTGAGGAGGGGGGTGTTATTATTTTTAACCACCCCCAGCTCAGATTAAAGCAACTGCCCCCCCACCCCCTGTGTAGTCGTCTCAGATTCCCAGGGCCCATAATTATCGAAATTCGAACCCGTACTCATGACATCGCTATAAATATGGGTTTTATTTAATTAATATCCATGTATTTTAATCCTTTCAAGAAGCATTTTGATAACCTTTCAATTTTAGAAATAAATAAACCAGGAATGCAATGAAGACAATCTCATTGCTAACAAGTTAAATTTTTAATTTCTTATAAACAATTTGTATATTTACATATCCTTGTAATTTATATATTTACAACAAAATACTTTCGGCAGCCAGTAATTAAAAGGTTGTCAGGGCAGGTAATTCTAACCGAAGACAGCTAACACTGGCTCACCTCCCTTGGTTGCGAATAAACAAACAAACATATTTATTTCCAATGATGTGACAGTGCCTCAGTAGCTATTTCACAGTCAAATAACCAATGAATGAAATGAGTCCATTTCACATCAACCTGATCAGATCAGTGACTTTGTGTCAAACTCACCAAGCTTCATTAAACCAATGACCAGGTCTGATGTCAGAAAAAGGTCATTAGGTGAGTGACTTTGCATCCTGTCATAAGATCCAGGAATCAAATTCATTTGCAGTCATTCATTAGATAATTGACCGTATCCAGGTCACTTGTGGTCATTGGAATAAAAAAATGTGTGCAGTGAGATTTTTAAAATTTAAATACATACATGGCAAATATATGACATGATCAGTTATCCAGATTATTCCGTTTACAGGTACACAAGCGTTGGATTCCCCACACGCAGGAACACAGTCATAGGATTCCCCCCACAGAGAGGCACAGGTCCAAACATATTTAACACAATCAACAATCAAATTACAGCAATTCATGACAAGCATTTGACAAGCGCATGCACTTATTTAATTAATGACACAATGCCATTGGATTGTCTGGAAAAAAAAGGTTTGTTGGTCATGTTCTTTCCTGGACAAGATCTGTATTGAAGAATTTCTTTCCGTTATGATGGTTTGGGGAGTGCTCGCTGGGTATGTCATTTTTTTTTTATAATGGAAGCAGGTTATTATTGATAGACACCTTCTCCAACATGACATCATTTGTCTGATGCTGCCGCTGCATAATAAGAAGTTCAGAATTTTCAGACAAACCATCAATACTTCTATGATAAATAGCGGCGCAGCAAAATCTTTCAAATTTGAAACAAATAATGGAACCATCTACCCTAGGCACCATATTCAAACTAAAGTGCCGCTAAAAATTAAGTAGTCATTTATACCAAACCTAAAATAACAAAAACAAAAAACAGGATTAATTCACCCCGAGGCAAAACACCATCTGAAATGAGGCATAACACCATCTGAAGTGAGGCATAACACCATCTGAAACGATGGTTGACAAGACAGTGATCATAAACAATTATAGAACATGTGTCATTGTGGAAAAAATACAGCCCATGAGAAGGGCCAACAAACAGGTAGTCATGGCAATGTTACAATAACAAATAATGGTGTTACTGTACACTGGATTGTGGGACACATACACCAATGAGCAAACGAAATTTCATCGTGTTAAATACAATGTAAATCAAATAAGCATCAAAAAAAGTAAATTGATCAATTAGCCTAGGTATAGACTAAGATATATGGGTGCAATTGGTGTTACATGATCAATTTTGCTATTTGGAATAAATAGTGCTTTTTTTTTAAGTTAACCTAAAACTCACACCTACAGTTGTAACACAAACCCTTCAAACTCACACCTACAGTTGTAACACAAACCCTTCAAACTCACACCTACAGTTGTAACACAAACCCTTCAAACTCATACCTACAGTTGTAACACAAACCCTTCAAACTCACACCTACAGTTGTAACACAAACCCTTCAAACTCACACCTACAGTTGTAACACAAACCCTTCAAACTCACACCTACACTTGTAACACAAACCCTTCAAA